AGTTCTTGGACTTACAGAATTTAGGTAGTTATACACAAGTGTGAAAGGACAGATGATGGTGGAGTTATACACAAGTGTGAAAGGACTGAGATAGTGGAGTTATACACAAGTGTGAAAGGACTGAGATAGTGGTGATATACACAAGTGTGAAAGGACTGAGACAGTGGTGTTATACATAAGTGTGGAAGGACAGATAATGGTGTTATACACAAGTGTGAAAGGACTGAGATAGTGGTGTTATACACAAGTGTGAAAGGACTGAGATAATGGTGATATACACAAGTGTGAAAGGACTGAGATAGTGGTGATATACACAAGTGTGAAAGGACTGAGATAGTGACGTTATACACAAGTGTGAAAGGACTGAGATAGTGGTGATATACACAAGTGTGAAAGGACTGAGATAGTGACGTTATACACAAGTGTGAAAGGACTGAGATAGTGACGTAGTGTTTAGGATAAGGGTGAAGAGGAAGCAGGATGTTTGAAACAAATAAAGATGTTCATTACAGGTAATTTAAAGTGGGCTTGCCTACAGGTGAGGAAGCTTGGGATGTTTCAGTTAAAGAAATTGATAAGATAACTATGGTCACAAAAAGTTTGAAAACTTAAATTTTGAGTAAAAGTAAAACAACAGTTTTAAAGAGAGTAACGTACAAGTTTGTTATTTGTTCTGAATGATGAGTAAAGGTGATTCGAAATATAATAAACAATTTAAAGAAACATGAGTAATTTGATGTTTAATGACTTAAATATATTCACTGAAGACTACAGTTCTCCAACTTATAACTAACCATAACCCCAAAAATAGTAGTTCAAATAATTGATATTAATTAGTGTTTTGACCACTGTTATGTAAGTTGTATCCCAGCTGACCTGGTGAGCCCTGGTATTGGGTGAAAGGTCTCTTCAGCACTGGATATAATGTAGTTGAAATGTTGTTACACTCTTCCTTGTTTTAATAAGTTCCTTTAATTATTGATGTTCTTTGGAAATAGAAGATTTAGAGTTTAAGTAAAATAACTGTTTTAAAGAAGTCCAAAGCTTATAGAAAAGTACAGACTCGAGAATAAGCTTAGTTGTTATTATTCTAATGTTAGGAGTATTAAGAATGAAATGAATGAGGTCTGGGGTTGACTTGGAAGACATGAATTCACCAAAGTTTCTAAAATTTACTTGAAGAGTAGTTCCTTTAGAAGTGCTATAATAATACTTGTACTTTTGATAAAGGTTCTATATTGTATCTGTAATAATGTTTCAGCGTGGTTACTACCAGGTTTTACTTGACTTGATCAGTAGCCGTCACTTAGATTAGAGTTTTGTTTCTTTTGAATGAATTAACTATATTTCTAATAAGGTTTTATTTCAACTTCCATAAAGTGTCTTCTTTTGAGCTCAGAAGACACAAAGAAGAAGAATGCCACAACTATTGAAGGGGATGAGACAGTATGTCAAGCATTTGAAACAGCCATTTAAATGCATGGTGAACTGCACCCTGTGTGGTTTCATCACTGCTTTTATAACCTTCGTCATTGGAATACCGTTACTGGTGTTCTTTGGGTCCAACCTCAGTCAAGATGAAGTTATGAAAAGGTTAGTACTGTCTTCACTGGATGATTAGAAGCTGACTCATGACATGTCTGTTTGTTTAGGATATTTGCACAAAGCTACAAAGGCCTGTCAGTGCAAAGCCATGGCTAAATTTAAACTAGTAGACTAAAGAAAATATAACTTTGTCTGATTAAATAGTGAGGTTTGACCCCCTTATAGTACACTCATAGCCTAAGATTCCAGTGAGGTTTGATCCCCTTATAGTACACTTACAGCCCAAGATTCCAGTGAGGTTTGATCCCCTTATAGTACACTCACAGCCCAAGATTCCAGTGAGGTTTGACCCCCTTATAGTACACTTACAGCCCAAGATTCCAGTGAGGTTTGACCCCATTATAGTACACTTACAGCCCAAGATTCCAGTGAGGTTTGAAGCAACAGTACACAAACCTTGAATTCACAGTCAGTGCATTCTATCCAGTAGACCAAAGATAGCACAAATTGATCTTAAAAGGTTAAAGTGGTGACAGTTGTTTCCATCTGAGAGATTAAAGAAATAAGAACTCGTCAAAAATGAATGTTGTTGTTTTTTGTCTTTTCAAGTTAATTTTCTTTATTTAGTCCTTTTAGTACCTCTCATTACAACTAATGTTTATATATAGAAAGTCTTAACATTTCTGTCAACTTGTAAATACCAATAAGAAACTAGTCGATCAGCAGAATGCTCAGACTAGCTGTAAAACCTCTTTGAGGGGAAGCTATCTTAGCACATGAATGTTTAAAAAACTGTGAATCTTTAGTTTTCTTTCAGGTGACAAAATTAACTAAAATGTAAAAGTTAGAAGTTTCTTAGCCTAACAAGACTTCGGTAAGACGAAACACTCGGTGAAATATTACACTCACTAATCGTGTGTAGTTTACTTTAGGTAACTATTGTGCTCCCTCGGTGATTTATTGCTTTTGACAGAAGAATTACTACTCCAGTGGGTATATAGTGTACAGCGATAAAAGTGTAAGATTAGAAGTAAGCAGATGTGAAAAACTGTTCGATATTCATGTAGGTGGTTCTATTGGTTGAATAAATATGTGGAAACTGTAAGCTGGAAAGAAGTATTTTTATTCTTAGCAAGAAAATCACCTTTCATTCAGACTGACTCAGTAAAGGCTTCACCTTTCATTCAGACTGATTCAGTAAAGGCTTCACCTTTCATTCAGACTGACTCAGTAAGGGCTTCACCTTTCATTCAGACTGATTCAGTAAAGGCTTCACCTTTCATTCAGACTGACTCAGTAAGGGCTTCACCTTTCATTCAGACTGATTCAGTAAAGGCTTCACCTTTCATTCAGACTGACTCAGTAAAGGCTTCACCTTTCATTCAGAC